GCGCGTATTATACGAGTAAAGCGTTGGCGGACACCTAGAGCGTACCTTCCGCGCGTCTCTTCCTCTTTCGCTCGGATTTTCATAATTTATCGCACCGACACCGTTCGGCGCGTATACGCGGATGCGACTCGCCTATCGATTCGTATACGTTCTAAATCTAATTCATTAAAAAAATTCGAATATATATATGGGGTATAATATATCTTGTTAGTTGACGTGTCCCGATAACGCGCGGCGCGATAAAATTCGCGCTAGAAATTATAAGTATTTTTTTTTCAATCGTGGTTTATCTGGATAGCTACATTAAAGCTCTTGGTCGGAGAATCAGTTTCTGATTCCTCGGTTCACCAACTTTAACGAGTATTACTCTCGGAGAGCATATAATCTCGGAGAGAGCCGAACATCTTTTTGATGGAGTAACTTAACGGCTCTTCGACTCTCTCATAAAAATCGATCTGGCGCTTCCGAGCGTTTCCGAGCTACGGAGTTATGCGGACCGATGAGTCGGGAAAGAATGGGAAACGGCCGTAAATTCATCCGTATGGACCCGCGCCACGCGAGGCGGTTCGGAGTTCGGAGGAGAGCGAGTACACAGCGACGTATAGTATAGCGGACTTTCTCGGATCGACGTACAGCATCGTGACGGCAACGCTCGGCACCCCGTTGAAACGGGCACTTAAATCGTCATAACTCCTGCACGCGGTTCCCAGAAGGAGCGTTTATTTTCTCGCGCGCGGAGGTCTATAAATATTTTCCGGATATCTCCTTCTCGAGTAGGTTACCCTCGGCGCGCGGGTTTCACGCGCCCGTCAAGGCGGCGTCCAGCCAATAAATATACATTTGCCCAAAAACGCAAAGGGACATCCGTCAATGTCTATGCGCGGCCGTTCTTATCTCGGCTTATCAATCTCCCCCCTTACCCCTCCTCCCGCTTACCGTTGGGTTACAGCGGATTTCCTCGGCGGTTATCGGGACCTCGGAAATGCATTCTATAACGCTGATCCTAATTTCGAGAATTCCCCCCCCCCCCTCGTCGTTTTAACGAGGCGCAAACGAGGCGCTCGTTAACTTGTCATTAACGTTGCAGTCGGGCAGAAAGATACGCCGCGTGGAATACACGCTTGCGGAATGCCATCTAATTGCTGTAACTTCCGGTTTATGTAAAACGTCGGCGGGTAGTGCCAGTTTACATTTGCAGAAATAGAGTGGTATTCGCGAAACGCGCTGTCAAACGCGCTCGCTCGAGTATGACTGTATACGAATGCGCGCGGTCTCCGCGTGCTGTTGAGATATACATATATAGGTGCCCGCGTAGAATGTGGCGTACGTCAGCTTTTATCCGCGGCACGTCGTGCAAAATATAGAGGAGCCCGGCGCATATGGCATCTCTCCGCGATTCTTCGGCTCTCGAAGGCTCGAACGCGCGTCGCGCGATTCCCAGCCGGCAACAATGTGTCCCTTATATTCGAGCGGCTCTCGTATCTCGGTTTACCGAAGTCTCGTGTATCCAGCTCGCACAAGGGTCACTGGCATAGGCCAATATTTGAAGGATTTTACGCGAGTGTGAGAAACCCCGTTTTAAATGGGAACAGAGGACGCCTCTGTTTTCACGTGCGGCGGCGACCCGCGCGGCCGGCCGGCCCGATCCAGCCGGCGTCGATCGCGTTCGACGAAAATTACGAAATAACGTTGGCGCTGCCGCGCGAGAGATGGACGAAAAAAAAAAGAAGAGGACAAACGGTTAACGAGACTGGAAACAATCTGGCGATTCTTTCGAGTGGAAAATTTGAGAGAGACGCGTCAAAGGACAAGAATAAATGGCACGATCTCGGGGAATAACTTGCGCCACTTGTTGATGACGTCTGCGAATTCGCGTCGTTAAGATATTTTTAATATCTGCCTTTTCCGAGAATTGTGTCGCTCCTTGATAGAAATATTGTAGCCGGGGAGATATATCGGACATGGATATGTTATGGAGCGTCTGAATAATCTACAATCCGCAGTCCCACGACTCGCGGTCCACCTCCGAAATAATTGGCCGTGATTTATTCATATTTCCTGAATCGGATATTATTTAAAGACCTCACCGGGGGAGGGGGGGGGGCGGGCTTTCGTCGGACATGATCGTCGGACCCACGCGGAGGATACATTCGCGAGGCTATAATTATCCGCCGAGCCACAATCAACGCGACGTCAATCAATATCGGCCTCGTTCCTCAATCGATACGCGCGTCAAATGGAAAAAGAGATCCGCGAGACGCGCGCGGATCCCGCATGCATCATGCCTGGCGATGCAATAAAAGCGGGAACGAGTTTATTTTCAAAACGCGCGGATCGATCGTGCACGCCCGTCCGGTCCCTGCACCGCACCGCGCCCGACGAGCGCGAGCGGGATGATTCTCTTTGAAGTATCCCGGGTGAGTGAGAGCCGGGGCTCCGTTCTAATTATCTAAACACGGACGGGGTCCGCGTGGCGGTGGAGGCCTGCGTTTAATCAGAGATTACACATCGTAAACCGCGCGCGCGTTCCATCGCGCTCCGCTCCGTTCCGCGGCTCGTCCCGGCGGCGTTGGTACTCGCCTCCTCGTATTCGCTTCATTCTTCTCTCCCTCGAAATAGGAGCAGCGAAATCGGTCGCGCCGTGATCGATGCTATACGCCCTTAATCAGCCGATTTCCGTGTGTAAAGTTCAAACGCAAGTTCCAGCGCTGCATGCTCTGCCACTCAAAGTAACGATTGCTCGCTCTACTTTTAAGAGAAGAGCCGCCGAGACGGGAAGGATTTACGGCCTCGCGATACTGATGGAAATCGAGAAATCGAGATTAAACAAATACCCCCTTTTCATCCGCGCTCTCGTAACATTGGCGTAATCACCGGAGTTTCCTATATAGGTATACCCCCGTGAAAGTCACAGCGCTTTAAACTTTGAAGGCGCGATGTGTAACCGCGGCGGGTGTAACCGCGCGAGTGTACAACTGTTTTCATATATACTCTATATACATACATATATATGTACTCTACAAAATATCGGCGAGAGAGTCAACTTAAACAGGAGCAAGGAGCGTTTACTCCACATTATTCACACAGACCTGTCTCGCGTTTCCCTCCCTCCCCTCGTCTCGCAGCCCCTGTGTCTAGCGCCTCGACGAGCGCGGTTACGGAAATAGTTGCAAAGTCGATATATCACCTTTTAGCTCGACCCGTCTATAGGCGGTCTATAATAAAACGCGCGTTACGGCGACGTGGCGACTAAATCGAGCGACATCGCTCGCGGAAAAGCGTACACGCAGTTTTCGACGACCCGCCGCGATCGGTCCTCTCCCCCACGTCCCCTCCCCTCCCCTCTCCCCCTCGTCCATTGCCGCCGCCGCCGGTGTCTGAGAGCTTTGTGCTCGATCTCTCGAATAATGCCTATTATTAATTATCTGCCAGCGAGCCCTTCCGCCGAGTGGTACGTCCGACGCGTCACGGCGCCGCTCCTCGTATCCCATACCTTAAGCTCGCACCGTCGCCGGTAGTCACGTCAGATTTCCCGGCGACTAGATCCCGCTCATACTCGTTAATTAATTCCTGGATCGCAATCAAAGCATCCCTGCCTCCCCCCGAGCGGCGGCTCTCGTCGTCGTCATCTCCCTGCACGGTCGGCAGCCGTCCCGACTTCCGCCAGTCAACCCTTATCCATCAGTGACGTGCGACAACGGGCGGGCCGGCCTGTCGGTTTTCCTTCCCTTTGAAATGCGCGACAAGCACGTATCGCTTGTACATACGCGTGTCGAAATCATTTGCCAAATATTTGCCTGTTAAAACATCGGCGGGTTTATCCGGTTCGCGCGGGAGACTTTGCGACACGCGTGAATCCTCGCGTATATATATATATATTTGTTACATACACTTGTGCGTCGCGCGTACGTATACAGCGATCTTAATACGTACTTCGAATATTGTATACACAATCGCGGTGTACGCGCGCGCGTGTATATATACCTACACGATCTTAATACATATTTCATGATTTGATAAATCGGGCCGCGCGCCGCTTTGAATATGAATAAGACTTGTCGCTTTCGCTGGCATTGCACATTCGTCGTACATCTCGTAAACAATATTTTACCATAATCTGCTGCGGTATAATGACTGTGTTTTATGCGACGTCTGTGTCTTTCGCGTACTTATATCTCGTACTCGGATCACGCGATGTACGAAATTCACCGCTACTTAATGCATAGAATTAACGACCTCTTAATGGGCCCCGGTAAATAATAGCTCTATTATTTCTCCGCAATGGCTTTAACGCATGTACCGCAATATGAAATACATATCATATGCCCATGAAAACTCCATGACGAAGCCAATTCGTTTCGTCCGATTTTTTATACGTACATATGTATACACTCGTTATACATCGCGGACGGGACGATGCGGAAGGAGGGAAAGAAAAAGAGGCATCGACGAGAAGGGTGCGTCTGATTACGGCCCTGGCGCAAGGCCGCCCTCCCTCGAGGCGACGTACCGTGGGTCGTCGAGTCGAACCCTTTTACATCATCCTCCACAGACCATGCATTCTCCCCGACTCATGCGTGCGCCATTCACTTAGGGTAGAATCCACCGATGCACGGCATCCTGTTCTTTTTTTTTTTCATTTCCTACTGCCTATACCAAGAATGCGATGCATATCGGAGAATCGCGATCCCTCTCTCTCTCTCTCTCTCTCTCTCTCACGCGCGGAAGTATTTAAAGTCTCCCGAGACGTGCCACTATTAATATACGGCATACCTATTTTTATCCCTGACGTATAAAATTCCGCGAAATTAATCTGTGCCAACGCAAAATTTCAGTTGTTAAACTGAAGATATTCACTTGTCGATTTATGATGTTGTGAAAGTCAAAGGACACGAAAGATTTCGGGTGTCGCGGCGAATGTGTACTTCACCTATAAATCTTCCTTTGAACAGTTTAAAGTAGATCTCTCCTTAATAAATATATATAGAGATACGTCATACCTTTTTATATTGGGGTTCTCAAGTTATACGCGATTGAAAATCGAGACGTCGTCACGAATCGAAGATAAACGACTCGGATATAATTCCTCGGCGAAGTAACGATTCCTTTCGAGGCCATCCGGGCGGACACAAAGTACACATTGGCTCGCGAGAGTGGACTCGAGGAGGAAGTCCCTCCTTAGAGGTTCTCTTCCGAACCGAAACGCATTAAAGTTTCGCAACGAGCGATAAATCAGGCCGCGATGGACGCGTTCCATTTTGGGACGAACAAATAAACAACTGACCTCGTTCACCATAGTAACACCCTTACGCCGCCGGTGTCCCCCGCGGCCGCGCGGGCAGGAAAACGTAGGGGGAAAGGGATGTGGGAGAAGGAGAACGAAGATAGAATTAAAATAGGGCGTAAATCAATGGATCGGCCGACGTTAAGAGTACAGGATGGCGTGTATTTTTATAATAACATTTTTATGACCGGCCAGTCGTGGGAATGCAATTACGCTGCGAAGGAGCGGAAGCGTTGTCGGAGACATTTTGACGAAAAGGACTTGGAGGAAGAATTAATTAGAGGATTGAATTTGAATGACACACATATTTCTGATCTCCTTCCGACTTTCACACACACATTTTTTTTTATTAACATGTTTATCGAATAGAAAAACGCTGTTTCTCTATAGATGTACCACGGATATATTTTAATAACAGAGAATTAACATTCGAATCTCGAGATGAGTACAATAGAAATTCAATGGCACGTTCGCAGAAGCCAGTGCGTAGAATGGAGAGCTTTAATTCTGACCCTTTCATTTCACCGTCCCTTAGAGGGGGTCACTGGGCTATTTTCGCGACCCTCGCGCGCCCGCCAATCTCGCCTATTCATAATCAAAAGGGTCGCGAATCCTTGGGGCTTTTAGCTCAGGATAGAGAAACAATCGCGACAAATTATCCCTACCGACGATTTGCCTTAACCTTCTCGAAAACCCTTTAAAAGAGAATGACAAGTGGACCGTCCTTTATCTACATAATAGAATCGCTTATTTTGAAAAAGGTCACGGAGTTTCGAGAAGTTAATTTCGCGGCGCAGACGCGAAAAAAAGACTACGCCCCGAAAGCGACCGCGTTTTTTATTCCACAGTCGTAAAACTTCAACAAGATTATCCATCAAGCCTCTTATAATTCATAACACGATATATATCTTTGAATTAATTAGCATAAATTTCCCCTTCGCTCGAAAATTGCTCAATTTTTCTTAAAGAAAAAAATCAAGGCAACTAACTTTCGTTTAAAAAAAATGTACCTCTTATCCCTCTCAAGTAAGCGAATAAATCGTTTTACGACTCAACTTATTCAGCCACAGCATTTTTTTTTTTTAAAGAGGAAGTTTAATTGTATTGTATGTATAATCTGCTGCATTTCGTAAACCACGCAAATAATTCAGTGACGCACGGAGTAAGCCGCGACTACGAAAAAATTGCATCGAATCGCGGGAATATTCTCGACGAGATGGCTCTCTCTCTCTCTTTCTCGGGGAGACCACGTGGGTGTAAGGTGCTTGCGTGCAACAAAGTCTTGAGTTTCTGCGAAAGGCATTACGATTGACCGACTAACAGTACCCACATCCTCTCCTCTCCCGTCTCTCAAGCATTATGCTTGATGTGTCGGAGTTAAGAGCTCGCTCATTGTCGGTAGTACCTGGTAACATCATCGGCTGTCCGATCAGTAACATCGCGCATAAATATCAAGAGCCATCGACATGAACAACTCGCCTGTTTCTCTGCCGGCGCGTATACTGATAACGTCTAGATTCATTGCTCCGATCGTCACGGATTCCCGACCGCGTTCAAGTTACGAGAATATCCCCGATTTATTGCGATCACATATCTCGACGCGGAATGCGAAATTTATTTTTACATCCGTTGCGGCGAAATTTTTAAATATTTACGATTAACTCTTTGTTCCGACAGTCCCAAATAACAATTTGAATTTTATTCAGGCGATATTTGTAAATTATACATGCAAAATGATTCTCCCGAGGGAATGAGCCGAGTGAACGATTTATCGCGGGCTAAATCCTGCACGAAAAATTAATTATCGAGCGTTATAACATATTTCAAAATGACGCGATCGCGCCGTCGTTTCCGTCTGATTAACGATCGGCGGCTCGACGCTAAATGAAATTGGTCAGAGAATCCATAGCCACGGGAAGCTCCTTAATATATTTAATAACGCCGCCACCCAATCTCGCGTCCCAGCGGCGGCAGCGATTTAGGGGCAAACCCTTCGTAAATTTACTACGCGTATACAGCACGAGGCGTATACACGAAAACGTGGAATGTACTTCGGCGGAAGAAAGAGAGAGAGAGAGAGAGAGAGAGAGAGAGAGAGGGACAGCGAGAGAGAAAGAGAGACTGCGTCCCGGCGATACGCACACGAGATCGGCCAATAATAGACGTGCCTTATCGTTGTGTGGCGCCCGGTATTACAAGCACCAAAACGGTCCCCAGCCGTATATCAACCGGCGCTTCCCCTCCGTCCCCCTACCATCCCTTCCGTCGATCTCTCTGTGCGCGCTCGCGTTTTTCCCTGCCGATCACCAACGACCCCTTTGGTCAGTTCCATGGACTTTTCTCGTCGCCTTTTCATCGCGGGGAAAAACCGTTTCCGCAGCAAAACATCCATAAAACTGGTCCCTTTAGAGCGATACGAGGCCCTCGTTTTCAAGGCTGCTTCGGCCGTCCTCCCATCACCCACCCCCTCGTTCGCCTCACTTTTTTTCCCCACGGTCTTCCTCGCTCCCCTTTCGGTAAACCGAGAGCGCCAGTTGGTCTGCGCGTTTACGTGCGATTTTAAAATAAAAAGGAAGATTATATATATGTATGTGTATATAGGGCGTCGCCTTGGGAGCGATCGAGCTCTTTCTCTCTGGCCCTACTCTCATCCCGGCTTATATTCTGAGGGTACAACTCGATATGCTGTGTGCAACGAGCCTGCGCGAAATCCAAGCCGCAAATGTCGATAATGTCATCGCGATGAAGGCTGTCTGATAATCGGATTAATTAATTTCTAATTGAAGAAAATTATCTTCAAAAACATAAACATACATGTGTGGTAGTCGTTTAAGAGATTCAAGCGAGTTATTAAGCCGTTATTATATATTCATGAGTCTGCGTTTGTACTGTACAAAAGTATTTATGTATATCTATATAATATTCTTCCTTCTCGTATAGGAAAAAAAAAATCTTGTAGTCCTCATTTTCGACGTAGAAGCGTTGAAAAATGAGGCTGCTTTCACACAAAAATCATGTAAACGTCAGACGTAAATCCAACCTGCCAGCCACGCGGACCGTCGATCGCCGCGTCAATGGCCGAGGCGAATCCTCGGCTCCTGGATGGATCTCGCCACGGTTTTACGGGCAGCTTTTACGCGCTGAGAGTTTTTCCGGCGACCCCAGGTGTGTCTGGTCTGGCCCAGTGGAGCGTGTTCCCGCTGGCATAACCCACAGAGGACATTCGACGAGTAATTATTGTCCGTCGCAGTCGGCGACTCGGCCGCCGCGCGATCCAACGCGGCGGATCGACCGGCCGATCGGAGGCGCGCGGCGGCTCGGCAACGCGACGCGAAACGCCCGGGTACGTCACGGCGCTCGAACGTCGGACGTCGGGCTCGCGTCGTTCCCGCGGCCGCGGGGCCTTCTCGCGCGACGCGCGGCGACAAAAATTTGCCCGGGCTGACCTCCATTCCCCGCACACGGCGGCGATATCACACTTCACGATCGGCTTGGCAATATGGTGTAAGCCGTGCCATCGCTCCGCCGCTCGTCCACCCGCGCTGTATCACGGCGCAACTATTTTGCGGTCGCACGATCACCGTGACGACCGTGACTATACCATGTGACCCGCGTGCGCGGCGGCGTCTGTCGCGAGGTGTTCGTCGGAGAAAACGACGGAAACGGCGCTTGCTGTCCGACATCGTATTTCGTGCGTTGCGGAAAAAGAAGGAAGAACGTGAGATTAAAGAGAGATAATAAACGACTAATAATTCTATCAGAATTGCTGCTCACTGCAAATCTATAAGTGAATAAAAATGCCTTATCCGTGTAAAAGTGACAGATTATACTGTATAAAAAAATTGAATTTACACATTTAAATGTGTTCTTTTTACACGGATGAGACACTTTTTACGCATCTTAGATTTTGTAGCGCTCACACACGCTGCTTTTTACTTGGAAATTAATTTTTATTAAAATTATTATTTATTTAAATTTATTTAAAAATTACGCATTACTTCTTTTTGGCTTTCCACAGTTTTATCGGAAATTTTTGAACAATGTTATTTTAACTTATTAATTTTACTGAAGAGGATCTATAAACAAGGATCTACCCGCATGTATTAATGTTTTTATTTTTGTAATAATATATTTTATATGCATTATATCCATCCATCGTCGGCTCTTCATTGGTATTTCTCAAATTGGATGAAATTAATTTATTTTAAAATTATGATTTTATTTTAGAATTCGAATTTATTTATTTTCAGCTGCTTTCCGTTAAGGATGAAACTCCGGTTTCAATGAAAAATATTTGATGTTACTTATCGCGCGTTTACGTCTTCATTGCATTCCTCATTACTTGCCGATACGTATCATATAACGATGACGACGTGAACGCGAATGGTAATAATAAGCTAACAAATATTGACACACGCTCCGTTATCGTGGGATTTGCGCGCGCGGAAGAATCGAGTCCTTATGCGACACACAAACCGAGATATTACGGTTAATAATATACCGAGAGCGATACGGAGCGTGTTGCGACACGCGCGCGAGATAATCGGCGGGAGGGAGAAACAAATTGGAGTGGACGGAATTAAAATGTGCGAGATAACGGCGTCGTCGCAGAGCATTGAAGATGACCGATGACTTTAATATCGCTCGCATGACTAAGAAGCTAAACTGCCAAACAGAGAGAGAGAGAAAGAAAGAGAGAGAGAATAAGGAACAGAGAAAGAGAGAGCGAGAGAGGGGGAGAGAAAGAGGCATAGAATTGTGTGACCGCAGAATAATTAAATTTCTAAACTTTTACGACAATTGAAACGCATTCCGGCGGACTAACCGTCCTAACTCGCGGTCCTCGTTCCAATTTGCCTCGAGAATTTCAGCAATTAAAGGGCCCTTTCTCCAGCTCGCTCTCCGGTTTTTCGCCGGCACACCGTTTTGTCCGTAAGCGAGCGGGGTCCGGCGTCCCTCATCGCGGTAATTCTGCGCAATCCGCATT